ATTTTGATATTTTTTATTAAATGTGTAAGAACACAAAAAGCAAAATTCATATATGAAAATAAAGTTTATTCTATATTTGTCACAGGGGAAAAACACTTTTTATTAGATCTTTGTTTACATGAACAGTTTTTAACCTTTTTTGACTTGCTTACCCCTTGGCAATCCATTTCCCATTTTTTTTTTATTTTGCATGTTTCTCAAACATTGCCACATTAGTCAATTATACAGCACTGTACAATTGCATGTAAAAAAGATTTTTTTAAAAATCAAAAAGCATTGACGGACACAGATAAATATAATTATATTTTTATTTAAAACTAAGCATTGAGTGCCATGACGTTGCCAAAGGTCTCAATGCAGAATCTGAATATTCTTGTGGTAGACCTACATCTGCCATTATTATATTTTTTGCATACTCCTAATCCATCAAGCACATACCCCTGGGTGGAAATCACTGGTTTACATTATTAAATAAAATAATCGCAGGGGTAGTTGACTATCATTTATAGTGATCAACAACCAAGCTTTCATGAGAGCCTCACTACATGGTTGACTACCAGATGGCAATAATTTTTTTCCATCACTGTGAGTAAGGGAACTTCCACTTTGGAATTGTTGTTCTTGCATGTCATTAATAATGGGATCATCTTATGATGCTTCCTGTGAAGATGGCTTGTCTAAACTTGCTCTGTTGGACTAATTACATAAGAATTTCAGTTTAAATCAGTGTTTCTCAACGGCGGTGATATGGCCACCATGTGGGCGTTTTTCCCATGTTGAGGGGGTGATTAGTAACAATTTATATTTTGGGGGACAAAAAACAATTTTCTGGGCGATATAGTAAAACAAATATGACGTACTTGAACCTATAACCGATGTGAATCGAATAATTTTTCCACGACGAACGTTTTCATAACCCCTTCCGGGCTCTTCTTCAGGTGAAACAGCTGGATTGAACACCATGAAAACGTTCGTCGTGGAAAAATTATTCGATTCACATCGGTTATAGGTTCAAATATGTCATATTTATTTTATACAATCCGGTGTGCAGTAGATGTTATATAGATATAGTAAAACATTATATTAAGAATAATTAGATATTTTATTTGTTATATCGTACAATAATTAAACAAATAACATTATACTAGTCACTAGTCTATTCAATGCAGTACAAATTTGGCATTAGCCTTGTTTCTCAGCATCAGAATTTTGTGGTGAAGGGGACGATACTACGTAATGGTTTTATTGAAGGGGGCGACGATTCGTTAGAGGTTGAGAAACACTGGTTTAAATAATCAACTACTGGAAGTGGTTGCCAAGATGACTCCCCACCCTATATATAATCAGTTACTAAAATCTGTCTTCTGATTATCATACAATTTTTTTACTGCAAAATATGACCTACTTGAACCTATAACCAGTGTGTACAAAGTTTAATCTTCCAAAACAAATGTTTTCAAGGATGAGAGAACATCACTGGAAGACTATGACAAGTCAGGTCAATCATCCATGGGCACAACTCCCAAAAATGTTGGAAAAATTAGGCAACTTGTGTACGAGGATCACTGGAGAATCATTGCGGACATTTCTGCCGTCATCAATGCGCCCTATTCACTCAATTTTGCTCCCTGTGATTTCTTCCTGTTCCTGAAGATGAAAAATGAAACTCAAAGGTTTCTGTTTTGAAACTGTGGAGGAGATCCAATGTGAATCACAAGAAGTACTTGACACCTTTGAAGAAGAACATTTCCAGAGAGCTTTTCAAAATTGGAAGACATGCTGGGAGTGGTGTATCAATGCATAAAGTGAGTACTTTGAAGGTGATTCTAGCCAAATATAAATAATTACTTTTTGTCATGGGACCAGTCCTGGAATTTTTTGATACCACCTCATATATACAATTTTGGAAAACAGAATAATGTCTGATTGGTGTGATTGAGATTATATCAGAATTCAAAGATGGTGATTAGTATACTTGATAGTAAATTGCAAGTAGTTCCTCACTTCAGACAAAATTTCTTTATAAGTGTAAATAATGGTAATAATTTAGTACAGTTGTAAGTCTAGAAAATCAGTACTCTTCAATTCTAGCCACCACATTATAAAACATTTCACTGTATCTGATTTGGTACAGTATCTGTCAACCACCTGCAAATGCCTTTTCTTTGGGAATAAAGAAGTCTGATGGGACTAGATCTAGACTAACTGTAGGGAGGATGTAAAATCTCTCATTGGTGTTCATGCAATACTGCTCTGTGACACTGCAGAGTGAGCCAGTGCATTATCATGATGAACAAGACTTGCTGATGGATTTTTTCATGTTTCATTTCTTTAAAAAAAACTATATAAAGTTCTAAAACTGTTTCATATTAGTTTGCAATTTTTGTTCTTCGATCAGGAAAATCTGTCAGCAATATACCAGTATCCAAGAAAATTGTGGCCATTACCTTCATCATAGCCAATCTTTCTGCATTAATCTTTATGGGAACACTTGAAATTTTTGGTAACCATTGCTTTGATTGTTGCTTGCTCTCAGGATCAAGCTAGTAAATTAAGTTTCAACACCTGTAACCACCCTGTTTAGAAAAGCTTTAGATTGGATAAAATTTGTTTAAAAATTGAAGAGTTTTTGCACAATTTTGGCACACATTGCAATGAAAGCTTGCTTGAATTTAGCTTATCTGTTTGAATGCTCTCTGCTGATCTTACAAATATACCTAGTCTGAACTATACTTCCCACAGCATGAATAGTTCCTTCAGAAACCAGAGTTGACTGTCTCTTACAGCAACTATTATCTTTGTTGCCTACAAGATTTTCAAGACTGGGGAAATAACAGTTCAAAATATGAGTTCAATGTAACTGCAATCTGCTATAATGCTCTGTTCTGTCCTGCCGAAATAGGTCAAGCCTACAAGATAGAATAGTAGAAATTTTTCTAGCATGAAGGAAAACTAACTAATAACTAAAATACACACAGTAAATTAATGAAAAAAATGAAATGTTTAAAAATAGACATTTTATAGAAAAAATACGGACTTCACTTAGAACTTCAAAATTTCCCTGCTTAAAGGTTTTGTGACAAAATTCTTTAAAATGTCATTGTTATTGCTCTTGCTTGATTATCAAGTATTGGCTTGCAAGTCATTTTCTATTTGTTATATCCTGAATTTGTTTAATGATCTAAATATTTGTCTTTCAACATTTGTTATATTTGATGGATTGATAAAGCTTGAAACCATCTCTTCTTCACCTCTTCTGATAAACTAATATTATCACTGCTAAGATTTCAGCTTAACAAATAATGAAAACCAATGAAAAATGTTTAATGCATTTTATAGTTGATTGGGTTATGACAAGTGTAATGTCTTTTTGCTTATTTTGTTTGCTTTGATTTTGTTTCTCAGGATTTCCTCAACGAGTGGCAGGAAATCATTGATTAGGCAATTAAGCCTATTTTCATAACTATTTCAAACACTTTTTGGGGTTCTGGATATATATACTTTCTTAGAGTTGAAAACACCATGCATGCTGTGTTATTTTCTGATGTTTGCTAAGAATTCTATGATTTTTTAAAGACTGGCTCAGGGGCAACAGTAGATAACATTTTCAAAGCAACTGTGATAATCTAGAAAATATTTTGCTTTTTGCAAATTTATTTTTTTTTTATTGGTATTAAGTAAATAAATGATACTTCCATGTTGTGACATTAAAAAACTGATAATTCAATAATAAATGTATTCAATTTTTGCCTGAGGATGATGAAAGTACTTGCGAGCACATCTGAATTTTAACAAAATCACTGTTAGTAACACCACAACACAGAAGTGTCATTTATTTATTTAATTCTAAACACTGGCATGAAGTGTATCGTATGTTCATTATTTTTATTGTAGGAAACAAGATCCACCTTATCAAACTACAAATGTGTTTCATAATACAGCTCTTCTGCATGAACAATTTCTTTAAATGCAAACTTGAAATTAACACCTCTTCATGCAAAACCTGCCTTTTAAGAAACTGGAACTTTGTTTTCTTTGGGATATGACTAGAGTCAAAACTCAAAAATACTGGCCTATTTCTCTCTTGAAGATGCAGGACTTTTGACATTCTTCTGTATCACAATTTCTTTATCAGTGGACATTAACTGAACAAATGTCAGTTAAAATTCTCAATATCTAGAAGCCTGTTTTTTCCACTTTGTATATTTCTTTACTTGTGACAATTGTATTCCATTTAGCTGCTGAGTAAAATAAAAAGCACTGGTACGTGAAATGAAGTGGCAAGACCTGAAAATAAAAAACATAATTATCTATTAGCTACTTTGTCACTCTTGCCATAATTCTTCAATTTTAGCTGCCAAGTAGCAAGAAACTTGTCTAAATTTCTGTCTTATGTAACCTTGGTTTTAATTGCCATACTGAAATTATCTGGATTATTATTTATCTGAATTAGATTGTCTTAACCACTTTTGATAATGCCAAAGTTTTGGTTTCTAAGGGTAATATTTCATATGACATATTTGAAATTCCATCATATTAGATGCTAGTATCTTATATGCTTACATAGTTGCTTGAATGTGCATCCCTTTGTAAGCTCTGAGAAAATTCTGAAAATCTAGTTTCCCTTGCATTTTAACTGGAGCTTTAGTCTTCAAAAAAATTGAAGATTGGATTTTATTCATACACTTCAACTTTTTTTATTAACACGAAACCAAGTTTTGTAAACTTTTGTGATATTTACTAATTTGATATTATTTAATGAGTGATTATAAGATTCAAATATAACAATAAAAACCTGATTCTTATTCTTTATGAAAACAGTATGTTTGAAAATATTGAAAGGTATTTTAAATTTTTGAAACATATGAAATAACTAATAAATAAATGATAAAATTTATTTTATATAAATTTTAAGTTTAAATTAATACCTGATTAGATAAAAAAATTTCATAGCTATAATTATTAACAATATAAAGTTAGTTACCTTAACTGTTACCAAGTTTGTAAATCATCCACAAATATCTGCTGTATTGGATGAAGAAGAAGAAGAATGTTTGCATTTTCTCACTAAGTTGGAAGTTGAAGAATTTGAAGATATTAAGTCAGGTTACAGGATTAAATTTTATTTTGATGAGAATCCTTATTTTGAAAATGATATACTTGTGAAAGAATTCCACTTGGGATCTTCAGGTTAGTAAATATTTCTTTAATATTAGTACATGTGTGATTGAAATTATATTGTGAAAAGTTTAAATTCAATTTTTCTTGAAAATATTTTTTTAATTTGTTAGCTTTTAATACATTATGTTCAGTTTCAAAATATGAATTAACAAGCAATGTAGCTAATATAAATTCATCAATAATTTTTAAGTTAAATTTTATCTAATTAAATTCAACTTTTGCATGTGGGAATATTTTGTAATGAAAAATTAATTATTGAACTTTGACATCAATAAAACATTTTACAGGTAACTCTTGTATAACATGGTACATTTACAATGCAGTTTTGATGTAAGAGTTCATATGAAATCATGTGGTTTGTTACTCTAATAAATGTTTTTTTTTTTTTTTTCGGTTACTATAATATAATTTACCAATATAGATTGTACACTTTTCCTTATATAGAGAGCTTTTCTCTGTAATGATGATAGCTTTTTATTTTTCATAGTAAGCTTATTTGAAAATTTGAACTATTCTGTGTTTACAAGTATACAATTCTGTACACTGGAAGTTTCTTTCAGCATTTTGTATATAAGCTGTTCGTGACTTATAATTTTCTTTTTCAGTAACTCGCATGTGTTCTTGAAAATAGCATTTAATTAGATAATGAGTATAGATAAGTTAGTCATAAGTACATAGCAATGAAATATTGATATTTATAATTCTGTATTTTATGAATTATAATAAAGGTTGAAAAGACGAAAGACATTGTGATTGGGACCGGATTCGAAATGCACTCAATAGCCCATAGTGATTCCCTACTAGTGCTAGAGTAAAATAAAAATTGATGCGTACAATTTTCCACAAAATAGAAAAAGGTCAATTTTCTTAACATTGGGCCTATGGGAAAATCTGAGTTTTGATCGCCTAGATGACCTTGGTCCCACCAATATTTTCTGATGAAATTTGCAGGGTAAAAACGTCAGAATAGACTATTTCTGGCAAAGTTTGAAAATGAAGCTAGTTATGATTTGGCTGCTAGGGGGCATGACATTATTTTACATGTTTTCTCAATTTCAAGCTAGGAACAAGCTTTATTCAATGAGTTATGACAGAAAATACACAAATAATTAATCTTGAGTTTGAATATTTACCATTCAATTCATCAGGTGGTGCAAAAACAAGTTTTTGTACCTGGTGAATTGAGTAAACATGTAAAAAAATGTGTTACCCCCTTGCAGCCAAACTATAACTAGTTGCATTTCCAAACTTTGCCAGAAATTGTCTATTCTTACCTTCTTTCCATTCTGTGAGTTTCATCAAAAAATATTGGTGGGGCCAAGGTCATATAGGGCAGAGGTCTCCAGACTATGGCCCTTGGTAGTCTGCCGGATCCAGCCTGCCATAGTTTGTAAATTTTAGTGTAATTAAAATAATATAAGTAAATCATACAAAATAATAGTCAGATGTTTTTATTTAATGACCAATTAAGAAACACAGTAAGTGACATACATAGGTAATTCACATAATGAAATTAAACATTATAATTATAATTAATGAGATTTATGTAGCTGTAACTTTCCACTGATGATTGTTTGCAGTTGTGGATCAAGTTTACATTTTTTTTTAAATATTGCTACACTGCAAATCAGTCATTTGAAGTTCTGGAGCAAGTGTTTCTATATCAGCATTAAAAGGATTTTGAAAAATCTTTTATATCATTTGCAATTGCATCAAAATCTGAAAAGTGAGGCTCAAAATTTATTTTTAAAGCACCTAAAGCTTCAATTGCAAAATATACCAGAAATAGAGTCTCAGTTTGCTGACTGAATGTTTGGCATGTATTAACCCCTTAAGTTCCCAGCAATTTTTGATATTAATTTAATTAAACATAAAAAATACTTAAAACTGAAAAAAACAAAAGAAATGCGCTAATTTTGAAGAAAAAGCTTCAAATTTTATTTTCCTTTGTCTTGCCTTTCTGCAAAATCTGAAGCTGATGAGTCATTGTTTACACAGCTGGATGACCTTGAACACAGCTGGAGTCCAATTTCCCGGGACATTCTCATAGAAGTCTCGAGAGGTGAAGGGTTTGTAGTAGGGTGAGTAGCATCTGGCCATATATTTTTAAATACAGTAGAGCCTCGGCACTCGATAACCCAGCACTCCGGATAACTCGGCCACACCCTGGCAGGGCAAAAAAAATCCTTAGTTAATTAATTTTCATGATGAAGACAGCTTTATGCCTCATAAAGTATTTTTCTGAGGTTTGTCTTATCAGGTAAATTACTGTACAGTGTATTCATTAATTTTCATTTTCATGTAGTAAAGGCTCTGTGCCTTCATAAAAGACGTACTTTTCCTTTGTTTAAGGATATTTGGGCAGTTTGTTCTTTGTTATATTCTCAAGTAAACAATACATACAAGTATAGTACAGTATTTTCTGAAGACTCCACACTCGTACTTATTTTTTTAACGCCATTCCTGATAACCCGGCATTTTCACACTCTGCCACCCTTCGGTCCACATTAGGCTGAGTTTTTGAGGCTCTACTGTATTTTTAAAAAATTCAAATTTTAATTGCGATTTCCGACCCCCCGACTTAATTAAATGTGTATATAATATAATCTATTGATTAAAAAAATTAAAAAACTATTGGAGGTGGTTTTAGACATCAGAAAGCAGCTTTAAATAACTTTACTGAAGGAAAATCCGTGCGCTACAACTTAGGAACCATGAAATAAATTTGATAAAAAAAAAAACTCCCATTAAAAAACAATTAAGCCTTAATCGAGCCTTATCAAAGTTTAATTAAAATTGCGATAAAATTTTTGAAAAATTTTGGAGACTTAAAAAACATTCCAAAAATTCAAAAAAACAAAAATTTTTGGGGGGCCGAAAGGACTGAGTTTTATGTAAGGCTATGTAGCCTGCCCGAGTTAACTCGGGCGAAGAACTAAACGCGTTAAAATGCGTGAAACATTTTTTGTTCAATTGAGATTGAAACAAAACTGTTTTAGTTTTTTGTCGAAAGGACTTAATATGAGTAATATATGACTTAATATAAATCAGGCAGAAGCTGGTTTTCTCCTTGTAATTTTAAATTAAAGTTATTCATATGTTTAGTTAAATGTGTGTAAAATGATAACTTCCATAACCACTCATTATTTTGCAACTCAGGCAGAGGACAATCCCTTTCATTCAGGAAAATTTTGATTATTGCTTGGATCTCAAAAAATTGCATTAGAACTTTTCCGTAGCTAAGCCAGCATACTGCAGTATAATATGGTAAGTCATTTTCTCCACTCTCTTCAATAAACTCATGGAATTGACAATGATTGAGTGCACGTGATCTGATATAATTAACAGCTGACATTACTGACTTTAAAACTTCTGACATATTGAAGCATTTTCTGCACAAAGACTGTTGATGAGTGATGCAATGTACAATCAATGGTTTTGAACCACTGTTATTTTCTACAGTTTTTGATACAAGAGCAACGACCCCTTTATTTTTTCCACATGTTTTTGCTACTATCAGTAGCGAAACACTTCAAGTTTTTCCATAAAAGATAGTCTTTCTGAACAGCATTTAAACTTCTTTAAAAATATCTTCTCCAGTGATCCTGCTGTGAATGCTATGAACGTCAAGAAGCTCTTCTTCATGCATTTCATAATTTTTACCTATCCCTTGAATAAAAACTAACACCTGAGCGTATCTGAAACATTGTTGACTCATCCATGGCCAGAGAACCATTCTAAGTGTCGATTATTTGTCAGACAATTCAGTTAATATATTTTCTACAATATCATCCTACTCTTCAAGCCAGTGTTTGCTGACAAACTGATGTTTTTAAATAAATTAGCTTTTTCTGGATACATTTCTTCTGCTCTGCAATCATGCAATTCTTAAATTAATTCGCCATCAGTAAATGGTTTCTCATGTTTCGCTATTGAATAAGCCACACAGAAACTAGCATGAGTTGCTGCTGCTTGTTCAGCATTTACTTTCTTAAACAATGCTGAGATTTCAACCCATGTTTCAAAGATTCATATTTTTCTAACTGTAGACTTCCTGTAAATTTGGAGTAATTTTGAGAATGTTTAGTCTCATAATGACATTTTATATTGTATTTTTTGAGGACTGATATTGTTTCATTGCAAATTATACACGTTGCCTTATTACTTGACTCAATCACAAAATATTGATATCCCCATTGCTCTTTAAATGTTCTGCACGCACTCTCTAACTTTTGTTTCTTTTCCATATTTATACAAATCCACACAAAAGTGATGTATGAGGTCTGTTCAAAAAATACGCGGACTGACGTCATAAAGCAAAATCTACTATATGTAGAAGTTACATGTTTGGATCCCCTTCAACATATTCTCCTTCCCAACACACATGCTTATCCCAATGGGTGTTTCCACTTGTTGAAACAGTCCTGATACACTTCTTTTGTAATGTCCTTCAGTTCCTTCGTCACATTTGCCTTAATCTAGGAAATTGTCTCAAATCTTCTTCCTTTCAAGGGTCTTTTAAGTTTGTGGAATAAGAAAAAGTCGCAAGGAGCAAGGTCAGGTGTGTAGGGGGGTGGGGAAGAACAGTGATAGTGTTTGGCCAAAAACTTACGAGTTTCGAGGGCTGAATGGGCTGGAGCATTGTTGCGATGGAGAAACCAGTCGCCACTCCTCCACATTTCTGGCCTTTTGCAACAGATGGCATCCCTCAGACATTTCAGAACATCAATGTACTAAGACTGGTTCACTGTCGAGCTTTGGGGAAGTATTTGGGGTGAACATCACCCTTAGCATCAAAGAAAACTGTCAGCATCACATGTGACATTGGATTGAACTTGAAACATGCTTTATGCTTCATAGCAACATCACCGTAAGCCATGTTGATCATAGCAAATGTTTCAGTCGCAGATTTTCCAAGTTTAACACACAATTTCACAGCAAGTCGTTGCTCCGTCAGGTCATTCATTCTGAAATCTGACAAACGAAAAAATCGCATTTCACTAAAAACC